TAGTGTGTGTGTGTGTGTGTGTGTGTGTGTGTGTGTGTGTGTGTGTATATATATACACACACACACACACACACACACACATATATATAGTATATATATAGTAAAGGAAAAAAAAAAGAAAATAACCCTATGGATCAACTGTATGAATAAAATGAAATCCACACATTCTCTTTTCTTTTCTTTAAGATTATATATTTTAGGCAAGGCCATGAGGCTTATGTGCGGGCAGTAAGGAAGGCAAAAATTTACAATGTTAACATGCAAAAACAACCATGGAACAAAATGGAACTCAGGGTAAGTCAACTTAACAAAAAAAAAAATACTTCCACGATCTGTGAATCATGTCATTAACTTCTGCATTAAAGTCAAATGTGAACAAATAAAAGAAAAATGCTGTTTAAAAATGTTGCTTTGCAAACCAAACTTGAAAGATTTTTTTTATGACATACACCAGTCAATCAGTCACTGATGGTGGGAACTCAGTAGGAGATTCAAGTTGAAGGAAGATGTTTACCTAGAATGGTATTCTTCACTAACAAAAGTTAGACAACTCTAATTTGAAATACACCTCTACCTTGATATAATGCAACCCAATATAACACAAATTCGGATATAACGTGGTAAAGCAGTGCTCGGGGGGGGGAGGGGGGGGGGAGGGGAGAGGGGCTGCGCACTCCGGTGGATCAAAGCAAGTACGATATAATGCAGTTTCACCTATAATGTGGTAAGATTTTTTGGCTCTATGCATATACAGAGTTATATCGAGGTAGAGGTGTATTACCTTCTCTTGCATTCTAACTCATGTAGAACTAGCAACTCTCAAGTTGTTAATATAGTCACTTCAGCATTCTTAGAATGAATGAGCATACAGATACTGCTCATTGTTTCAGAACCTGAGAGTAACAAATAGGGGTCCCAACTATATATCATCAGTGGTGGCTGTTTGGGGCCAACAATGAGTCTTCAAAGATGTCTTCAGTTTGAAGGGGATGGGAAAGAACTACTCCCCTTAAGTTACATCCACACTTGGAACTAGGGTGTGATTCCTAGCTCAAGTAGACATACTTGTGCTGGTTATCATTGAGCTAGTGCACTAACAATAATATTGTACCTGTGGTGGTATGAGCTAGCAGTCCCAAGAGCATACCCATGGGATCCAGGTGGGTTTGTGCTCGGGAGCGGTTAGCGTGTGCCACCACTCGCCACTGCCTATGCTGCCACAACTACATTTCTGGTTTTGACATGTCCATTGGATGAAAGCTAGCACGAGCATGTCTCTGTGAGGTGGGACTCATACCCCTAATCCCAAGTGCTGACGTAGCCTTAGAGAGGCATAATGCCTCCAGGTATTGCCTCTCAAGTCCTAGCACTTCCAGAAGCTTTCATTTAGCTCATGCTGAATCTTCTTTTTAAAAAGACCATACTTTGCTTCCCCTAGTGCTGCCTCCTGATGTGCAAAGGTTTGAGGTTGTGGCCTTGGCCAGAGATGCCCACCTGGGGCCACTACTGCTTCTGGAGAACAAATGCACTATCCCCAATACACTTTCCAGTGCAGTTAACCAAATTATGACCAGCCTTGTGGAATATGTTACGGGGGAGGAGTACCGTGTACCCTCTCATCCTTCTTTGTTAGAGAGACCATTATGCTCTTGGATTTTTAGTGATGAAGCATATGACTGATAGAAGGATCTAGGCTGGAAGGAAGAAGTAATCTATAAATACATATCTTTCTTGGTACATATATACGAGTGAGTTTAAACATGAATACGCTACTTTTAAATCATAAACATTGACCCACACTGTGTTTTGATAATTAGGAACAAGAACTTGTGAAGACTGTAGGAATTAAATATGAAGTCGGACCTCCTACACTCTGCTGCTTGAAGCTTGCATTTCTAGATCCAATCTCAGGCAAAATGACAGGAGACTCTTTTTCCATTAAGTGAGTAACTGACTAAATCATTTCTCCAAAAAAACAAATATGCTTACAAATGGTCTAGAATCCCTTTTTTCTGATCTCCTTGCAGTTGAAGGCTTCATGTAAGCACTTGTCATTGCTGCAATGAACATGAAATAGTATTTGAAGACTAAAAAGATTGCCTATGGGATTCCACGAGAACAATTACTGTGGAAGCAGTATCTTGTTTAGAAGTAACATTGTTTTCTGTTATTCATAGGTATCATGATATGCCAGATGTTATTGATTTCCTTGTGCTGCATCAGTTTTATAATGAAGCCAAAGAAAGGAACTGGCAGATTGGTAAGTACCATTTTATCACATCCTTGTGTTTGGCATGCGGAATACCAATATTAGACAGGATGCAATTCATTGTCTTTATTCTAAATCTAAAATGTAAATATTTGCCCAGTTTTAATGAAAGAGGCACTTGTAAGTCATTGGTTGGTCACTTTTAAATGTACTGGTTATTTTTCAAATGCAGTCTTCTCTTTGAGAGCATTCTAACACACCTTTTGATGTAAACACCTTATGTTTTATTTTCTAGCATTTAAACTTACTTAAAAAAATTATAGTTTGTCACTTCTAAAATTTGCGTATTAATAATTTCTGATCATGACTGGTATGTTTTAAAGCCAGAATGCTCAGATATGCTGGTGATAGGAGCATATAAGTACCCACACAGAATACAGTTGTGACTTTCAGAGAGACAATTTGTATTTGTGATCCACCATCACCAAGTTAGTGGAGGCCGGTGTACTGGTAAGATCAGGTACTTTATCAGTATCAAATTATGTAAATTACACTGATTGTCTAACTTCTACTACAGGGATCGGCAGCCTTTTGCACGCGGCCCGCCAGGGTAAGCTCCCGGCAGGCTGAGATGGTTTGTTCACCTGCTGCGTCCACATGTTCGGCCGATCGCAGCTCCCGTTGGCCGTGGTTCGCCGCTCCAGACCAATGGGGGCTGTGGGAAGCAGCGCGGGCTGAGGGATATGCTGGCTGCCGCTTCCCGCAGCCCCCATTGGCCTGGGACGGCGAACCGTGGCAAGTGGGAGCTGCGATCAGCCAAACCTGCGGACGCGGCAGGTAAACAAACTGGCCTGGCCTCCCCAGGGGGCTTACCCTGGTGGGCCACATGCCAAAGGTTACCGATCCCTGTTCTACTATATGATAATGATGGAATCTTTATGGCACCATTAGAAGCTGTGCTTTCAGCAGCAAGGTGACTAACACAGCAGCAGTAGTAGGAGAGGAAGAGAAATGTTATAATATTGGAGGAGAAAGTCAGTTGGTCCATAATGACCAAAAGAATCTATGGCTAGGTTGTGGTCTGAGGCTAGGGGAAATCTGCTGTCAATCTCCAGAAATGTAAAGATGCTCTCCTTTGGTCTTTTTTAGCCCCTGTATGCTGCTGTGATGAAGGGGGTAGACATACAGACTCCTGTCAATTATTTACTTTATTATATAAGTAAGGTGTTTTAGCTGTTACATAAGAAATGGATACATTATAATCTGCATTACTCCATTGCTAAATAACTTAAACAAATTTTTTTTTTTAATTACAGGGGATAGGTTTCGCAGTATAATAGATGATGCTTGGTGGTTTGGAATGGTGGAGAGTCAGCAGCCTTTCCAGGCAGAATATCCTGATAGTTCCTTCCAGTGCTACAGTGTTCAGTAAGGATTACTATAGTTGCAGCATATCCGATATATCTAAGCATTTATGGGTCTTTTCTCCTCTGCGTATTTATATGTAATTTACATGTGTGCATCAAGGAAAAAAATTTAGATGAATAAACAGCCCACCTTTCTTTCTGACCTACCTACTCCTAAAACTATAATTTTGCACTAAAATCACAATTTGATATGAATTAGAGCCCCAGACAACTACACTGAGTTCCTGGTTCTTGTTACATTGGAATTGCCTTACCAGATCAGACTGTGGTCTTTGTCATCCAGTATCCTATTTCTGACACTGGCACCAAATGCTTCAGAAGAAGGTGCGAGAAACCATGTAGTGGGAGTTATGAAATAACCTGCTCATAGGGAAGGTTTCATTCTTACTCTGGCCAATGGTTGTCTTTTATGCGCTGGAGCATGAGGCTTTAAATGTTTTTAAGAAATTAATCCTATCTAATGTAACCGTGACGTTCTCGTTGTCTACAAAAATGTAGAATTCCCTTTCTGAATCCTACTCAGCTTTAGCCTCGCTGATCATGTGACAGTGAGTTCCACAGTTGAATTATGTTGTCTTTAAAAGTTTCTTTTTATTAGTTTTTAACTTTGCCTTTCAATTTCATTGTCTGTCCCTTAGTTTTATTATAAGGGTAAATAGGAACACCTGATTCCTCCTGTATACCATTCGTTATTTTGTATACATCTATGTCTCCTTTTTATTAGTCTCCTTTCTAACAAGTCCCAGTCTTTGTAATTGCTTCTCATATGGAAGTCTTTCCCTGTATCTAATAATTTTCATCACCTGTCTCTGGACCCCTTCTTTTTCTGTTATCTCTTTTGAGATGGGGCGACCAGAACTGAGCCAATATTCCAGGTGAGGGCATACTATTGATTTGTATTATGGCATGATAATACTGACAGTATTATTGTCTATTCCATTCATTTATGCGTAATGTTTTGTTTGCTGCACATGCAGCAGATGCATTTCAGTGTTTAAAGATGTAATATAATTAATATTGAAAATAATAATTTGAACTATTCATACACATTGTTGAATTCTGTGAACGACTCCGGCTTTTAACCTGAATAGTTACAGTTAGTTTGAAACCCAGCAATGTGTGTAAATAGTTCAGATTTGTCTTTCAATGTGCATTACCTTGCATTTGTCAACACTGAATTTCATTTAACGTTGTGCTGCCCATTGGCCTGGTTCTGTTGGATCCTTCTAGTGCAGGGGCGGGCAAACTTTTTGGCCTGAGGGCCGCATCAGGTTTCAGAAATTGTATGGAGGGCCAGTTAGGGGAGGCTGTCTCCCCTCAAACAGCGAGGTGTGGCCCAGCCCCACCCCCTATCCGACCCCTCCTGCTTCTCGCCCTCTGACGCGCCCTCCTCCACCCCCCAGACTCCTGCCCCATCCATCCCTTCCCCCCCCCGCCTGTTCCCTGATGACCCCCTCCAGGACCTCTGCCCCATCCACCCCGCTCTCTGTCCCCTGACTACCCCCGGGACCCCTGCCCCTGACTGCCCCATCCAACCCCTCCTCTCCTTCCTAACTGCCCCCCAGGACCGCTGCCCCCAATTAACCCCCCTGTTCCCTGCCTTCTGACTACCCCGACCCCTATCCACACCCTTGCCTCCTGACCACCACCCTGAACTCTATCCAGCCCCCCTGCCCCTCTTGCCACGCTGCCTGGAGCACCGATGGCTGGCGGTGCTACAGCCGTGCCGCCCGGCTGGAGCCAGCCACGCCACCGCGCAGCACAGACCACTGGGTCAGGCCAGGCTCTGCAGCTACGCTGCCCCAGGAGCTTGCAGCCCCACCGCCCAGAGCATTGCGCCAGTGGCGCAGTGAACTGAGGCTGCGGGGAAGGGGGAACAGCAGGGGAGGGGCTGGGGGCTAGCCTTCTGGGCCAGGAGCTCAGGGGCCAGGCAGGGGGGTCTCGCGGGCTGGATGTGGCCTGTGGGCCATAGTTTTCCCACCTCTGTTCTACTGTTTCTCAGTCTTCTTTAGTTTTAACTAACATCATTTTGAGTCATCTGCAATTTGTGTCACCTCATTGTTTCCACCCCTTTTCAGATCATTGCTAAATATCTGTGTAAAATAGCCGTCCTAGTGTGGTTCTTTGGGACATCCTACTGTTAATGTTTTGTCACACTGAAAAACAAGGATTTGTCCCTATGGTGGCTTTTTTGGGGTGGAGGGGTGTTGTTTTTGTGGTGTTAGCCAGTTGCTAGTGTATGGCAGGACCGTGCCTTGTCCCATGACAAAATAGTTCCTTAATAGCCTCCTGTTTAGTCAAAGGATTTGTTTAAAAGTTAAAATAAATAAAATCAACCATTTTTCCATTATCTACTGTCTTGTCGACTTGCTCAAAGTGTGCTACCAAATTGGAGAAGCACTATTTTCTGCTACAGAAGCTGTGCAGGTTTCTTCCTTGCATATCATTGTTCATGTAGTAGTAGTAACCAAAATACTATGTCGTTCTGCTGCTGGGATTCTCAAAAGTGATCTGTAGCTATTCTATTACAGCCTTTTCTGGTAGATATCATCTGACAAAAGCATTTGTTAAAAATACTAATCTATCAGTCACTGGTTACAAAAATAATCTGTGGTTCGTGGTTACAAAAATGTTTTGACTTTTTTCCCTAGTGGCGGTAGTTATTGATTGCTGTAAAACAATCTTCCCAAACATTGGGTTTTATTAATTGTTGTCATTGCTAAGGCAGATACATTGCTGAGATTTGACCAGTACTCTGTGTATTAGAGATGGGCTTGAAGAAAAACCCTGTGTCTAAATACCCACAATCAGAAGGGAAGCTGAGATCCACTTGTGACTTTGGCCCATCTCTAATATACTTCTGGGAAGATCACACTGCCACTTTATTTCCAGTCTCTTTTGGAAGAAATTTTACACCCTACATGCATCAGCGAAAATAGGTAAAAAATAAATATTTGCATGTAAGTAATATGGTTTTCATTTGTTTTAAATAGCTGGGACAACAATGAAAGAGAAAAGATGAGTCCATGGGACATGGAACCAGTTCCAGAAGGAAGTAAATATGCTTTTGAATTCATTATAATTTCCATGTCAGTACGATTATACCGGCATGGCACTAATGGCTCACTATTTTTGAATTCTTCACATTTCTTTTAGCTGCTTATCCAGACGAGGTTGGTGCTGGAGTTCCCGTGTCCCCAGAGGAACTGACATCTCTGCTGTATAAACCCCAAGAAGGAGAATGGGGGGCCCATTCCAGAGATGAAGAATGTGAACGAGTTATTAGGGGGATTGATTATCTTCTGACCCTTGGTATGTTGGGCATGAAATAAATTACAGGAGCATCAAGAAAATCAGCGTGATGCCAAATGACTCTTTGGGGGGGAAATTTACTTAACAAAAAACCATTGGAAATAGCCTCTTATTCCTCTAGGTACACTTTGCAGGCACACTTTCATCTTTATAGGGTTTGATCCTGCTCCAATTCATGTGTAATGATAGCAAGCAAGCTAGACTGAGTCCCTAATGAACAAAATATAATTAGTTTTAACGAGTCTTGGTACGAAACTATTTTATTTAAATGTTGTTAAACAAGGAAGGAATCAGGTTTACAATTTCTGATGTTGGACATCCCTACTTCAAGGTTTGTATGAGATGGCAGTTTTCAGCAACAGCTACTGGCACTGAAATCTCAAATGCAGTTTTTAACTAAAAATGCATTTTTAAATCTAGTAGTTCATGCAAGGGGAAATTCATTTTCATCCCGTGGGCATTCAGAATGGCTCACTGAGCAATATGACTGTAGATATATTTATCATTGGGCCAATGATTGCTGGATTTTTCTTTTTATAAGGGATCTAATTCTGTTATCATACAGCTGTCATCTGTGGAGTCTAACTGATTCTGATCTTTTTATTTTTAGATATTTCTAACCCCTTTGCTGTTCCAGTGGACCTTAGTGCCTATCCCATGTATTGCACTGTAGTTGCTTACCCAACTGACCTCACCACAATCAGGAGGAGACTTGAAAACAGATTTTATAGGTCAGTTTGATTTGTACCTCGTTTAAATTCCTGTGTATTTTATCATGTATCCCACTAGAACCGGGGTTCTCAAACTTCATTGCACTGTGATCCCCTTTGTACAATAAAAATTACTACATGACCCCAGGAAGGGGGAACTGAAGCCTGAGCCAGCCCTTGGGCTTTGGTCGTGGTTCACAGCAAGTCTAAGCCAGCCTTTGGGTCCCAACCCACACTTTGAGAACTGCTGCCCTCGAATGATTTGCTGAGCTGAATGTACTGCAACTCAACAAATAACTTCAGTGAATATTGTCACTTACTGTAATCAGTGTCCTCAGCAGGTCTGTGGCATAAGACTAGACTCCATACCCCATCCTCAAAGAATAGGTCTTGATATTTTTTGGGGGGGGGGAGTCATATTGCAAAAGCAAAACCAGATTTCTGGATCTTGATCTCTTTCCTGATCTGAGACATCTGCCTTGCGTCTTCCATCCTGCAAATATTGGAGGCAGTTCAGATTTGCTTGATAACGCCTCTTCTTGCTCTTGCACCTGATTCTTTCTCTGCAGTGCAGCAAACTTAGAGGCAGTTCAATATTCCTGCCTTCATCTAGTAGCATCTCAACTTTTTGAGCTGATTTTGGGGTACCAGCAAATAATACCTTTGTTAGCCCCATCTCCTTTCCCTCGGAGGACAAACATTTACCATTGGGACCACTCAGCCAAGTTCCTTCACTGCATTTGTTTCCACCTGGGGCAATTCCTTTCATTGTTGATTGTCTCATGTGAGTTCCCTTACCATGTAATAGGCCATGGAGCCTGCTACTGCCAATCTGGCATGGGCCAGACATCCTGGCCATCTGAACAGAGGCTTTGTGTCTTGGTGCTGGGTTTGCAGGGACTACCTCTTTTCTAACTAACTTTTATGGCACCAAAGGAAGGTAAAATTTTTCTTTCCTCTCCTTCCCCCACTCAGGAGAATCTCAGCATTGATGTGGGAGGTTCGATACATCGAGCATAATGCTAGGACTTTCAATGAGCCAGACAGTCCTATAGTTAAAGCAGCCAAAATTGTAACGGATGTCTTACTTCACTATATTGGGTGAGTACTTTGTGTTTCCTTATGCCAGCATTTCTGGGTTTCCAAACCAGTTCTGAAATGTATTTTGACTTGTCCTGTTGCTCTGCAGGGATCAGAGTTGTACTGATATATTGGATATATATAATAAAGTGAAAGCAGAAGATCTAAGCAGTACTGATGAAGAGGAGGAGGTAAGAGCAGTAAGCATGATCATCAGAAGCATAATTGGCTCTCTTTTATTCAATAGATAGACCGAGTTTAAAGATTGTTATGGTTTTTTTTTACGTGTAATCACTTTGGGGTTTGATACAAGAATGGTTGTTATGTAACTTGTCTTGCATGGTCTTGGATGATAAACTCTCCTCATTTAGTAAGATTGATTCTTTGAGTCTGGCTAGCCATCTGAATCTTCCCAGAGTGCCTGAGTTTCACACTCATATGGAGAGGAAATGCTAAGAGTGGAGGGGAAATGCATGAGGTAATGTAATATTATATTATTCACTCCAAAGAAACCAGGTGGATAGTCATCTCTCTGCAATCTGTCCACCTTCCAAGTGGCACCATAGTGGATTTTGTCTATTGAGACTTTACTTTTTTTTTTCATTTCTTGGTTTTACCTTGTAAAGATGACTGACAGACAGAAACTGCTCCAAAGCTTAACACGATTGTCCTTTTTTTATCTATTTAAAAAATGCAGTTTTCAAGAATATTACAGTGTAGCAGTTTCCATTGTGATGTGGTGACTGCCAATAGCTGAAACTTCTTAGTTTTGCCTTTAGTTCTTTCAGGCTCTGGTGTATGAGCCATTGACAGTGGGATACATTTATGATGGTCATTTGCATCCACCCTCTCCATCCCCCTTTCCCCAATATATCTATTATTCAAATCTTTGAATGAAAACTGATTGCTGGATAAACATCTGTACCAAGTGAATAAACATCACACATCATTCATAGCTTTTTATAACAGACTAGCATGAATACAGTGGAATGATTGTGTTTGCGGGTAAGAAAGGAGTGGTTGTTACTTTTGTCCTAATCACTATTGTTGTGAATGCAAATATTTTTTTCCTTTAACAAATTACTCCCCACCTCCCCAAATCTAACCATGTTTAAGGGTCTGCTCCAAACCCCACTGAAGCCAATGGAAAGTCTCCCTAGTTAACATCAGGGGGCCCCTTGATCCAAGTAATTAATGTAATAAAGTTCTGATCCTGCAAAAGGCTCTGTGTGGGAGCACCACAGTGTCCACACAAAGCAACATTGACTTAAGTCGGCAGTGTGCAGTGTACCTTACAGGTTCAGGGTCTGTGCCATTCAGAGGTGATACCAAAATATGAAAATCAGTTCCTTCTTTAATTAGATGCCAAGATTGGCTTTTAGGGGTCTTTGTTTCCCTTCTAATTATCATGATCTCATGAACACCTGTAGTAGTGTGACCTTGGAGTGGCACTTATTGCCCTTTAAGCTCTGGTGTCTTTCTTTCATCTGTCAGTAACCTCAGGCCAGGCAGCCAGCAAATGGTCCCACTACTACTGCACCAAGAAGTAGAAACACTGCAGCTTCCTGAAAGAAAATGGTGAAGGAGGGGGATGAGTGAGACTGCCATTAAAAAGGTCTGGCAGTTCCTTAACAAGAGAAACTGGCATGGGAGGAGGCTGGAATAGAGATAACTGGCTCTCTCGGCCATTCTTACACATTTTCATGTGTGCAAGACAAACCCTGCAGTTTCCTGCTCTGCCCTCAATGGTTTTGAAAGAAACTCCTAGCCAGAAAGATTCCCCTCCCCCTTGATTCTGGTGTTAAAGGAAAACTCTTGTGTGAAATCATTAAGATTTTAATATTGTAAAATGCTGCTATTTTATAAAAGTGTTGAAGGTAGATTAACCCTTTGCTAGGCTGTATAAATAAATACATGGCGGTGGTGTTGTAGCCCAGACTTGAAGAGCTCTGTGTAAGCGCGAAAGCTTCTCTCTCTCATAAACGGAAGTTGGTCCAACAAAAGATATTACCTCTCCCACCTTGTCTCTCTGAATAAATGCATGGGTTTTTAAAACAAAAATAAAATAAAGGGCTCCTGTAACTTAAAATCCTGATGCTTCCCTTCACAAACCCACTTGAATCATGTGGGAGGACTGTACCTCCTAGGTCGGTATGTGAATCATCCTTCCCATGTGGTTTGGTGATCAGCAGTGTCTGGCATTGTTCCCATATCCTGTTCCCTTTTCCCAGACCCCTCTAAGTGTGAGCAGGTTGGGGGAAGGAGTTGACAGGCCTGGTGGGGGAAATGCAGTTTTCCCCACCCTCTGGCACCACACAGCTCACCCAGCATAGGACTGTATTAGCATTCTATGAAGCCCTCTCTGCAGTGAGGATTTTCCTTTGAGGGGGGTCCCTGGGTGCAGCTGCAGTTACGGTGAATCCCTGACAGTAATGCTGCTCAGTGGAATTGCTGGGACTGGTGCCGGAGCCACTCATCCACACACATGCTGCTGGCCTCCTGCAGATACCCTGGGATCCACATTTACTTGGCAAACCTCGTGGCTTATTGCTCAGGGCAGCAAATCCTACCTCTCCCCAGCAGAACAATGTGAAGCTCCACAAGGACTCACCATGGAGTTTTCCACCCTGTAAGCTTCCTCCCATGGGTTTTTTGGGGGAAAGAAGGAGACTGTCAATCAGGACTTTCGTGTTTAAATGTTTAGCTTCATTGAAAAACCCCAGCGTAAGTGTATTGTGCTAGATATGTTCCTTAATATTAGTAATGTAAAAAGCACAAAACATCTCTGCATTTTCTCTTTCCTCACAAATGTGGGATAAATAATTTTAATAAAATATGTTTTGTTGCCTATTTTTGTAGTACAATAGCTCTTGCATTTTACCTGTCAAGTAAGGTGTTTTTCTGTTTGTACTCCTGTGCTATTTCTTGTTCTAGTAACCTATATGTAACTAAATGAATAGAGACTTCTTTAAAAATAAGAGAGCACTGAACATACATTGTATATTCTCTTTGGGGTCTTACAAGACTCCATCTCATCCATCCATCCATCCATCCATTTTAATTTTTGTATATATATCTGTATAGATATATACGCACACACACACATCAGAAACAAACTCAGGGAGTTGAAGCAGCTTTTCTGTTTAAAGATACTAAAATATAAAAAGTGAAAGTTCTAGTAAAAAAAAATCAATCTAGCTTTGCTTAAATCATTTTTTTTTAATTGAAGTAATCTTACCCAACACGTTTATTCTCACAGTAATAGTTTAGTTTTGTTCTTTGTGTTCATGCTAACACTTGTTTGAGCGTAATCATTACCGTTTCCTTTAGGTGGCAGAAGTAGATGTAGAGTCAGATGGGCCTGGAACTTCATCTGGGAAAAGAAGAGTGAGTAAATATCTTATCTGCGTCCAGTTTATGCTGCAGGAGTTGGGTTGGTCCACGGAATTAACAACTCTCACTTAGGGCCTGATCCTGCAAAGATTTAACTTTACACAGGCTGTTGTCAGTCAGTCACTGCTTGTACGTATTAAGTTTAAGCACATGTGTAAGTTTTTGGCTGAATCAGGACATTGTATTACTATAGAGATAATTTGATGATTGCTTAGTGGCTGTTACTGTCCTGATACTTTGGATATCTGTACAAGAGCATTAACCAACAATATACAAGCTGCTTGTGCTCCTTCAGTCATGGAAGTAGACAGAAAAATATTGAATTTGTTTACTTTATAAATACATACTATTACTAAATTAATGACTATGGCAGTCTGCCTATATTACATTTAATAGATAAAAGTTTAACTTTCAACAAGCAATTATTTTCCCATGGTAATTAATGAGCAACTTTCCCTTCAGCCAATAAGGCATTGTGGCCTTTCCGAAATATACAAAGCTCTGAACCTCAGCTCTGAACCACAGCTCTTGCATCTAAAATGTTGTATGGATATTGAGTTGGGTATTTTTATATTATTAAAAAAGAAAATGCATTCTTCAGTAAATTGCATAGTCCATATTGTTATGCCACTCAACTTTTCTTGCATGTTTTTAGTTATGGACTTCAATTTTGAACCATTTTCTGAGCACATTGATAGTAATTTAAAGTCAAGACCAGTAGATACAAAAACCTTTATACTTTAAATGTTATTAAAATACAACTTTTATTTTGTTCCCTTAAAATCTTCAGGTAAGACGACCAATAAAAAGGCAGCCCTTCAAAGCAAGCCCTGATGCTTGGAAAGAACAGTGCAAGCAGTTGTTAAGCCTAATATATGAACGTGAGGACTCCGAGCCTTTTAGACAACCAGTTGATCTCTTCTCCTATCCTGTAAATATATTTCTACTTTCTGTAATTTAAAAAAAATTCTTATCATAATATTTCAGTCTTTTTTAAGAAGTCATATATTCTTCATGCTGCTGGATACATTACTGAGCTCCTCTTTGTCAGTCACAGGCTGTCTTCTTCAATGAGTGCTAAATTAAATCCCTCTGAGAAAATGAGGGACCCGTAGCCTTGGATTGAGCAGGAGTAGAGCCGGCAGGAAATAGCCACCTTCTTCAAAGAGCTCAGTCAGTGCACTTCAGACCCTCCTATTGTTCCTACATCTCACGATCTCTTGAGCAGAGACTGCCAGACACATTCTGTTAGTGCTATTGAATGGAGGAACATGGATTAGCCCATTAAACTCATTTTCACCTCTGATGGAATGTGAACCCTTGAGTGCCAGCAAAGCCCCTTGGAATTTGTAAATATGAGTCTTGTAGCTAGAAGATTTAAGTTTAGTCTAAAACAGAGTTTGTGGAACAGTTTGATTATTTTGTGGGGTAGGATAAATTTGAGAGATATTGGACTGTACAGGGACATGAAGCAAAACACATGTAATGTTTACTTAACCAGTTCATGGCAGCTAGTGATAACTTTACCTACTTGTTAATATTGCATACATTATTTTTGTAGGACTATCGAGATATTGTAGACACTCCAATGGATTTCAGCACTGTGAAAGAAACTTTGGAAGCAGGAAATTACACCAATCCTCTGGAATTTTACAAGGATGTTCGCTTAATATTCTGCAACTCTAAAGCTTACACACCTAATAAAAAGTCACGGGTAAGTGATAAAAATATGGATACATGACATCTCAGGCCATTTCTGCTAAGATCTTCAATCACACTTTCATATAAGGAATGAATGGCACTTGGAATGTGCAGATGGAGGTCGTAGCATGATATTTTAAAATATAAATGAACAGTCTTTGTCATTTTAAGAACCTAGGATAATAAATCCCCTTTGCAAAGCCCTCCCAGAACATGTTTCAGGTGACTATGTCTCAGTTTCTTGAAAACTTTCAGGCACAACATTCAGAAATACTGTGGTTATAGTCTAGATCAGTGGTTCTCAAACTATTTCCCATTGTGGGCCGCATGTGCAGCTCTCTGAGGTATGTGGGCCGCATCCACACCCTATATATACTGCCTGTATGGATCTTAGGTTGTCACATGGGCTGCAGCACTGTGCTGATTGGGCCGCAAGTGGGCCATGGGTTGAGAACTACTGGTCTAGATACTATAGGTATATCTACACTGTAGGAAAAACCCATGGCAGTGAGTTGGAGAGCCTGGGTCAACTGACTTGGGCTCGCACTGCAGGGCTAAAAATAGTAGTGTTTATATTATTTATATTTGGAACATTGTCGTTGTTGTAAAGTTACCCAGACTGGCAGGTGTAGTTACTAAAACTACTTTTAATTCATCTATTGACACTGTCTAAAGTTGGAGCTTCTTTTTCTGGTAATATATGCGAGAGCTGAAACTCAGTAATGTTACTGTGATTCCAGAAGCCAAGCAAAACCAATGTAGGCATGATCTTTTGTAATGCAGGAAAATAATGCAGATTAAAAAGTAATGCCCTTGTCCTGGCATACTCATTTAACGCCACCATTTAACATACTTGGAAAGAATGCCGGTTCCCATTTCACGTACCGCTGGCATGCAGGAAATGAAATGTGCATCAGGTATTAAGAATGAAACATGTTTGGGGCTAGATTGGGCTGTTAGGCTCAGCTCTGAGTATTGGGTGGCAGATCGCTGTGCTAAGCATGTGGAATGGGCTGTGGCTCAGGGTGGTCTACACAGAGAAAAAGCCCACAGTAGCTAGTGCTATAAATACAGTGCCCTTGTGTGCATTAGCTTAATGCACTTTGGAAAAGCATTAAGCTAAACCTCCGAAGGGCACACTTGGAGTGCAGTATGAGTGTCTACATGGGGAGTTAGTGTGGAATATCTAGTGCACTTTGAATTCACACCCTACCTTAATGTGCACTTCCCCATGTAGACAAGCCCTCAAGTGTTCTCCTCTTTGTTCTGGTGTGGAGGAAATTACTTCACCCTTTTTTGGAGTAAAGCGTCCCACCACCTCCATACACCTGGATACAATCTGCTAGCCACTGTATATGGAGGTAAAGCTGTGGCTCCTCCCACTCTCATCCCCTTCCTCTCCACTCACTCAGCAGTAGGGGAGAATCAGATATACAGCCCCTGCCCTTCCCTCTTTGTGCTGGAGGCATGATCCAGGCAGCGCTAACTTGGCTGCGCAGTGGGTGACATGCCTTGGCTGTACTTACGCTGAACTTACCAGGCTTCTCTGTCAGCTGTATTGGGGCCAATCAAAAATCTATCCTTTAATTAAATAGGCTAAACTTGATTTCATGCAAAGGGGGGAGAGATAGCTCAGTGGTTTGAGCATTGGCCTGCTAAACCCAGGGTTCTCAGTTCAATCCTTGAGGGAGCCATTTAGGGATCTACGGCAAAAATCTGTCTGGGGATTGGTCCTGCTTTGAGCAGGGGGTTGGACTAGCTGACCTCCTGAGGTCCCTTCCAACCTTGATATTCTAAAATAAAAAAACAATGTTTAACTTCACTTGAGTATCAGGGGGTAGCCGTGTTAGTCTGTATCTACAAAAACAACAAGGAGTCTTTAAGGTGCCACCAGACTCCTTGTTGTTTTAACTTCACTTGAGACTTCAGGAGGTTTAATGAATTGTTTTCATCCTTTCTTGTTAGGGGTACCTCTTAACTTGTTTGTCTAGTTTGTCATCTATTTGGTTTGTACAATAAAGAAGATTAATTATATTTTAAGACCATAAACTCTGAAATACTTCATTATTGATTTCTATCGCGAGAATACAGATGACTTCTTTATACTAGTACAATGCAGGAAAATAATGCATTGTCTGATCTTCGCAGTTGTCTGTCAGTATGGATTTTGCTTTTGGAATATCAAGGTTGATATATTTCTGTGAATCTTTGCAACATTATTTTGCATGGAATTGATCTCCACAGTTAGAGCAATCAGTAAATATGGCCATAACTTCTTTCTCCAGATCTATAGCATGACGCTTAGACTGTCTGCCTTATTTGAAAATCATATTAAAAACATCATCTCTGAATACAAGTTGGCCATGCAGTGTCAGAAGAGGAATAGGCCACGATACCGAAAACGACTAAGGAGCAGTAGTAGTTCACCATCTAGTAGCAGAGCATCTAGGTAACTTAATAATGAAACTCTCTATCTGCATATTTTGAAATCCTCTGTTTTAGGGGGAAATAAACGTTCAGATAAGACGGCAGTAACAATATGGCTTATTTTCTAGTACAATCTCTCCTGTGGGTGCGTTTAAACACTGGAGCTCGTATAAGGGGTGGGTGCTGTATAAAAGTGTGAAAGGAGCTGTATAAAAGCCACATTAATTTCTATAACACATTAACAAAGCAAACTGTATGTTCCTTTTAGGAAAGCAAGATAAAATCTTGTTCTTGAACAGTTGTATTCCTTTAATAAACTCACCAGTATTTTTGCTTTATTATATATTTTCGATTACTACAGCTATGTAATCTTTGAGACAGAAAATCAGATGCTCCATTTTACATTTAAATATCAAATTTACACTGATAACCTGATAACAGTGTTATGTCTGTTTTTTGTTTTTTAAATCCTTTTGCATTAACATTTGTATATTTTGGGGGATGTTTCATATCTTCAGCCCTAAAGGGAAACAGAAACAAGTGAAGGTGCAACCTAAAATCAACCAGAATACCTCACTGCCTTTGACTAGGACTAGCTCTTCAGTTTCATCTCATGGTAAGTAGAATAAAAAATGGTGTACATGGCAGAACCAAAGTCTGAAAACAGGAGTGTCTAAAGTATTTCCACTGCTGCTTCCTAATAACAGCAGTATGAAGAAAAGCTGAGGGGTATTTATTGCTGATCTTAAACAAGCTCGTTGTATTAATCTATCAAAGGCTAGTATCTAATTGCCGTATAATTAAAGATTTTGGTTATGTAAGTATGTTTGGCATAGATTACATGCAAACTAGATACATCCCTCAAGTTCTTGGTAAGTTACTAGTGTATAAAAAATTTGGTTTCCCCTGCATTAATTAAAGAAAAGATTGAGCCATTTTGGACCTGTGAAATCTGATTGTTTGCATGGTGCCCTAGTACATCAGTATAAGGAGAGATGAAGGAAATCGTTTGAGTTTATTATGTCCTGTTTTAAGTTTCAGATACTACAGAGGAGGCTCTAGGTTCAGCTATTGGTGAAGAAACGGAGGGCCAACCATCCTCATCTGGGTTAAATACACAGAACCGAAGTGGAAATAACATTGATCCAGGGAAAAATAGACTAGTCAGGAGTAAATCCACACCCGTTAAACAAGGTTGGAAGTTATATGCTTTCTTTGGATGACTAATTTTACTAGAAAAGAAATCTGCTTCTGGCATCTATGCACTACTGTAGACAAACACTTATTGCACTGCAAGTTGTGGTATAAATCTACAGTTCTCCAGTGTGCTCCTCAATCTCCATGAGGACTACGGTCGCCAACTTTCTAATTGTTGAAAACCAGACATCCCTGCCCTACCTCTTCCCCCAGGATGCCCCCTCCTCCCCTGCTCACTCTCCCCTCCCAGGAAGCTGGTGTGATTGAGCAAGATGGTGAAGATTTTTGAGACTTAGAACAGCGTGAGAGGTTTAAAAGAAGTGTTTGTTCTTTGCCTTTTGGAAAACTTTGTTTTCTCCTCATACTTGATACCTTTCTACAACAAAATTCTCCACAGAAAAATCATGTAGAAAAAACCTCTAGCCTTAGGAGCGTTCATTAAATGTCTCACCTATTCTGTAGGTAGGCTTTCCCCACACACCTTTTCAGGGTTTTTTTTTTATTTTTAAAAGAGAAACCTGATTGCACACTCAAATGAAGCAAACCTAATGAACTGATTCAGTGTGGTATTATACAAATACATATTGACATTTACCCAATGTGCATGTATTTGCAATTGTGTCCTAATGCTTAGGGCTTGTCTATATTAGAAAAGTTGTGCAATCTTAACTAATTAATGTTGAAGTCTTTGTAGTTAAATAGATGATACCCCCTAATGTAGATGCACTTCAACCCATTTAATCCTTGTTTACCATGTACTAGTAAACTACTAAATTAAATTAAACTGATTTAAGTGAGGGTTAAACACATTTAAGTACATCTGCATTAAGTGAGATGTAGCACTGCCACTAACATCCAAAAAAAAGTTGAAAAAGTTTCCTATAACTTGGTTAAAAGCCTATCCCACCCTTTTCTATGTGTTAGATACCAAACAGTACAGGAATGTGAGTTTTTTCTTGGGGTGAAGGTGAATGAGAAGTTCCACAAACTTAGAAAAGGCAAGTTTCAGCTATACAAACAAGAATGCCTTGCTATAACATAATATATCAAGATCACGCCAAACAAACCTGGCAACATATGTAATTCTGCTATAAAATGCAGCAAACCATTTGCCAGGGTGCTGCTAACTACCAGGCCCATTTTCCATATGCCTGAACCTCTTGTTTCTGTTTTAGAGTCTCTAAATTTGTAGCAAATTTAATCACTTTTGGCGTATTATGCACACTAAGATTTGTTTTTATAGAAATTAAGTCTTTTTAGGTGTCTAAATAGTTCTTTGAAAAGCTGGGAAGTGATTTTTGGCTGTTTAAGAAAGTATTATATTTTAAATCAAACTTATTTTAAAAACTGTCGCTAGAATAGGCATCTCAGAATATTGTTTGAATAGAAATGTATTAATCGACACTCTTGATAACTTACAGAAAAGTAGCCTTGCCCTACTTTCCAAGTGTGTGTGGAGGAGAGAGGGGGGAGTAACTGGCATTGAGGGGTGCTGGGACTGTAGGGGCACTAACTGGCATTGAGGGGGAACGCTGTGTGTGGGCACTAGAATTTTAGGGAGAGCAGTAAGTGTCATTGAGAGGACTCTGGGGGTGTGGAGGGAGCAGTAAATGGCATTGAGGGGGTATGAGGGGATGACTAACTGGAATTGATGGAGCATGCTATGGGTGGGGGCACTAACTGGCAGATAGGGGGCAGTGGAATTGGGGGAACCATTAACTGGCAGCGGCAGGACGATGTGTGTGTGATGGGGGTGGGGAAATTGGGCCACAGCGGCGTGGGGTCGATCCCCAGAGCGAAGGGCCAGGGCAAGAAAATGAGGGCACAGCGGTGCGGACAAGGGGGACAGACAGGATCTCCCCTCGGGCAGCAGCGGTGCTGGTACTTGTCTCTCCACCCGAGAGGCTGGAGCTGGGTCCGGGAGCCAGCCAGTTCTCCCCATTAGCATCTGAGCAGCTGCTGCTCTTCCCGCCATCTTGGTGTGGAGGCTGATCGTGATTACTCTGATAACCGGACTTTTAGCGTCCAGTCAGCTGTGCTGACCAGACACTGCCACGTCCCCTTTTCGATTGGACTTTCTGGTAGAAAACTGGACACCTGGCAACCCTAGAGTGAGCCCTGTACTGAAACAGTTACCTAGTGGGCTTAAACCCTGCTGTTTCAAACAGCTAAATGTGCTTGTGATCTCTCTACCTGAGTGCAGTATTAAATTGAGCTTATTTCCCTGCTTTGTCATGTTTCCGGACACATTTTTTACAATTCTGAAATCTGTTATCTAAATTATGGGATAAATGTTCTCCAAAGATTCAACCAATGCCCCTAAAATGTTGCCAAGATGGGAAAAGTTGATAATTCTCAAAGAAAGTTAGGAGTTTTCCAAAGGCTTTTAGAAAATCGCTGACATTTTATTTGGCATATTAAAGCTGAAGAGAAGGGGGAAAATATTTTAAAAGTTGAACAGACATGTCCTGACTAGCTCATGGCTTTTTTAATCTGGGGTTACACAGTGCTTAGAATTTTCACAAGGCTATGCTGGAACAGGTATAAGTGTTTCACTCTTCTGAAACTGTCAAAAGGTACACACACGTTTGTCAACATCTGAATATTTTTGTAAATAAAATTGCCATCATGTTAAGGTGCACTTACAAAAATGTGTTCTTTGTTATGGGGTAGGGCTTCACTTTTCCAGGATTAATGTAATTTTTCAACCTTCACAAGCAGCATATGTTAACTGTGAAAGGAGAAACATTTTAAGCCCCAACACAGCAAAGGCACTAAAGCATGTGCTGAGCTTGAAGTACCTAGTAATCCCATTGATTTCAGTTGGACTACTCACATGCTTAATATTAAGTATGTATTGAAATGCTGATTGGGGCCTTACAGAACAGATGTTTGATGAGGGCTGATAGCACAAGCTATTGGAGAGAAATGTAAATTTTAATAGAAAATCCTTTTTATATTTGAAAATAATTTTTCCCTTGAATTGCTGCAGTTCAGATTTAACTTTATCACACTGTTAACAAGTGATTGTTTTTTGTGTTTGTTTAGATCAGTCTCTTGATGGACCACTTACAAATGGTGATAGCAGAGAGCCTCGGATAGCAGTCAAGAGAAAGTTAGTAAGTGCCTCAGAAGAGGAGGAACACCTAGAGGAAGAGGAGAAGAAGAGAGAATTAAAAGAAAAACCTGGTTTATCGTCATCAGAAAGTGGGGAGTCAGGATCCAGTTCAAGCTCTGAAAGCAGATGTGGTTCTGATTCAGATTCTGAATCGACCTCTAGAACAGATCAGGATTACATTGATGGAGATCATGACTACAGTAAAGTTGTGCAAACTAAACCCAAAAGAAAAATTAAAAGGAAAATTGCTAGTGGGAAAAGAAACTGGCAGGGTAGAGGGACAGGGAGGAGAGGTAGATGGGGCAGATGGGGTAGATGGAGCAGAGGGGGAAGAGGTGGCAGAGGAGGAAGAGGAGGCTGCGGCAGAGGAAGAAGAGGAGGCAGGGGAGGAAGAAGAGGCAGAGGAGGTAGAGGAGCTTCACGAGGAGCAACCAGAGCCAAACGTGCACGAATGGCAGATGATGAATTTGAGAATCTGTTTGGCGGCCGATTTGGCGAAAATATGTTTGGAGGACGATTCAGTAGGCCACCACGAATTAAAACAAGGAACGAGGGCAGGAGAACTGTTTTATATAATGACGATTCAGATAACGACAACTTTGTGCACACCGAGGATCCTCTGAATCTTGGTACTTCCAGATCGGGCAGGGTGCGGAAAATGACAGAAAAAGCCAGGGTCAGCCATCTCATGGGATGGAATTATTGACAGATAAACATCTTTGAAAAATTTCAAATGAACTTCAAAGGCCTTCTACTGCAGGGATTTTACCAGAAAATCTACCAAGCAAGTTGTGGGGGGACTCCACTCACTTTCTACAGTGGTGCTTTTCCATTATGCCAGTATACATTTGTTTTAAGACTTCAGATTGCCACACTTCATTGGTCAAAAAAAGCCTTACTTATTAGGCCTTAAATTACAGAAATTCTTCCCCACGCACTACAAGTTCATTTTGTTTCAAGGAGCTTCCAGCTTCTCAATAATAGCATGACATTTTGAATCATGATTATGAAATCTCTCCCTTGTTTTGTTTTTTTGTATTATAGAAATAGCACCTTCTTACAGAGTTTTTATATGGTTTGTCATAAATCCTTATACACAGTAATAATTATAACTTTTGCACAATACACCAATCCTAAAGGCAGCTATAAAATGTTTACCATTTCTATATTGTAAGAAGGATCTGGATTATTTTAATCTTCCCAGGCCAAACTTCATGAATTGTGCTGAATTGAAGTATATTTATACTACAGTTTAGGAGGGTTTGAAATGCTTTCTGTTGGTTCGTAATTCATGTAAAAAGTGAGAAAAGGGTTGGTGCCTTGTAAATATGTAGCAAACCTTTGATGTGGTGTGTCCTAATGTGTGCATTAACTTTATTAAAAAGAGAATACTTGAGAAGTATGAATATCTAGACAGAAGGTGCCAAATGCAAAAGTTACTTGCATCTATTTTCTTTTTGTCCTCTCATATTTTTATAGCATTAATAGAGATTGTGCTGCAAAGGGTTAATTTCAACATTTGAAAGGTTTCTCCTCTTCAAAGCATTACATGTCTTAATAGTAGCTCAGCTACCTCTGTTTACAACTACTGGAAACTTAAAAGAAAATAGAGGTTATTCTGCAGTGCTTATTGAAGAAGAGGCAAGAATGAGAATAGCAGGGATGGAATTGCTCACATTGTGAAGTAACCACTTCTTCATCATATTGGTACTCTGAAACAAACCTTAGTGTAGCTATCAAAGCTTTCACAAGCCTAATATGCTTGTAGCAGATGGTAGTTTGTTGGGCAAACAGCCAGTGGGCTCTCACACATTTCTGGTATCGCTTATTCAATGAAAGTCTGTTTCTGTTTTTAATTTGATTATTGAAACGTTCAAAGAAACCTAAATTGAGCTATCGTGTCTCTACTGGCTACTCATATTTTTGTATCATTACTGATAAGTTTCCATTCATATCATTGACAAGAGTCCTTGTAGCTCAAGCTTCCAGAAGAGAATTCACACTGTACTGTACTCTTACCTTGTAAATGTTGCATTGAAAAATAATAACTTGCACACTGAGGTCATTCTAGCAGTAATAATACAGTATGCAATGCTATGAGGGAAATGTAGGGTTAGGAGATTACTCTGTATCTTGCTCTTCAGACTGAATGACTGGCTGTGTTTAATTAATTGGAACATGCTTGTTCTTGTGGCATGAGAAAGAGAGTTGCAGCCTTCTACTTTGTAGGGTCCAGTTAAAAGATTTGTGGGACTCTGTCATGTTAGACCAAGGAAGAGACATCTAGCTGACATCTCTAGCTGAGTTGAGATAGTGAGTCATTGATTACACGAGAAAAAGGGATGAGAGAGGAGGTTTGGAAATCGAAATAAATGAGGGATGCAATTCTGAAATTTCTTCCTCAATGTGCAACTTTTATCACTTTGTCAATAATTCTGGAAAACCTGGTGGGAAGGAGGAATAGTGAAGTGTATATTTTCATACATAAATAGATTTGGTTCTGGCCTTTTTTCTATGACAAACGTTAGCAGGCTGATCTCTCTTTGCAACAGTTCTAGTCAGGTGCAAGATAACTGGAACAAATGCTGTGAGAGTCGTCGGGCTTGGGAGTGGGGAGAAGAAAGCAGTCTAAGTAGTACATGGTAATGATCTGAATTTATGGTACAGTAAAAATCTCTCAAACTTTTTGTTACAGTTGTTGTCCTGATTATGCCAAAACTAATTTCTGGGCATGACTCAGATGGTCCATTTAACAAAGAAATGGATACAGAGGATCTCCTAGCTCTGTATTGGGCTTTAAAATACAAATGCCTGTCCTATCATCTCTTACAGTATGTATTCAGAAGAAAATGTATTCTTCCCTAGAGTTATTGGTCCCTATATCTATGTAATCAGGAAAAGCATGGATATGTCAGTTCCTAGACATAATCGTATACATTTTAGATCGAAGTTCTTTCCAACCAATATAAATGCTAAGATTCCTATGCTAAAATCCTGAGATTCTGAAGAAATGCTATTCATATGTTTCTGGCTGGCTGAAGCTGTAATTATTAATTTATTTGGGGGTGGGAGGGAGGAAAAACATGGATTCCTGAAAAAATCATGATTTCCTAAGTTTAAATGTATTTTAGCAACAATTAGAATAAGAGTAAATATGTTCTTAAATGTATCTTTTATATGTAATGAAGTACTGTGAAGATAACAGTAAAACAGCACTTTGCTGTGGTGTAAGTATTAATCTAAAATGTGTTATGTGATTAAGAGCCAGACAGCAGGGTGTGCTAGAACAACAGAGCTATTGCTTATTGTAAAGAATCTGAGAATTTTTTTAATTTTATTTTATTTTGTGCATGAAATCCTTTTTATAAGCATGAAAGAAATAACTTATATTTTTGAATGCTATTTTTACTTGATTTCGTATCTGGATTTTTTTTTTCCAATTTAGATATTTGATTTCTTTCTCAGCCTCATTCTGTGGATGAATTCTAACTTGGTGATAAGTTGGACACTTTTTTTTTTTCTAAGATGTTAAATTCAGTTAGAAGCCACGTACTTAAAGCTGCATGACACTTGATTTTTACCCTGACAGCTGCAGCAGGAGCAATGAAACAAGAATAGCCCTTGCACCAAAAGGGTTGCAACCCAGTCCTTCAGACCCCAATCCAAAACTTCTGTGCCCATGTAATGCCTCTTTGAAATCAATGGGGTTCCATGCAGGCACAGAGCTCTGTCCACCCCGAGTTCATTGCAGACTCATCAGCATTGTCTTTATTCATACAGTTTTAACCAAAAGTAACTTCTGTTTGGGTCTACTCTTTAACACTTGTGTATGAAGGTATTTTGATCATATATTTAAAATACTAATGGTTAACAAAATCCCTAGTTGGGCTGTAGATTGCTGATATTTAGTTAATATTCAAGTACCAGTGCTTCAAGGCTTTCTCCAGAAATGGGTATGAATGTTTATGGAAGTTTTGGATGGTCTCACTCCCTAGTGTCAACAGTTCGAGGGCATCCCATTACCAGCCTTAGGAAGCAGAACTGCAAATAGAGCCACCAGCCAGCAGTTACATGTGATTTGTGGGTGTTGGAGGGCTCCTTTGGCCCCCACCACCCACACACTTTCAAGAGGAGGGGGCTGAACGTTTGTGTGTGTGTTTTTGAATACCAGCTTACTACCTCTGGAGCACGCCCAACTCCTGAAGGCCCAGGGCACACAGGCCCAAGCTTGGTCCTGAACACTGATATCTGTCACTAGGCCTTCACCCCAGTCCCAGACTTCCATTTTGCCTCCCCTTATTTTGCGTGTCCCTGCTCCGTCCCCTCCTGGGTTTTTTCGCTTTGTTCCATCCCTTTTGCCTTCCGTTCTTTGTTTCTCTGTCCTCTCTTAAGAGCCTGCCTGTGCTGCTGCTCCTGCACTCCGTAGTATTCCCCCCATTTGTGTCAGCAGGATCAGCTGAAACTTAAACTCTGATGCTCTTGCTGGGCCATTAGGAATACATTAGGTTCTTTCTCATCTGTCCACCTAAAGTCACTTGTCTGTAAATTCAAGTCAAGCTTTTTTTCTTGCCATATTTTGCTTATTAACAAACCTTCCAAAAGTGTTAGTAGTAAATGAATAGAAATGTAGAAAGTTGTTGGGCCTGATTCTCCATTGTCTTGCACTTTAGGTCTTCATTTACACTAGTGTAAACACTCAACTCAGAGCAAGTACTGTTTGCACTCACTCTGAGGTAAAGGTACAGGCCAGTTCTGACTATTTGAATTAAAAATTTAGGTCTCACCTGACCTCCCGAATAAATTGTTATCACATTTTCTTTATCTGGACGTGAGTTAATGTAACACCTGTAAAGCTCATATGTTTCCTTTCCAGTGTCTGAGATAGTGGGATTAGCACACAATTTTACCTGCATTTTGGAATATTCAGTTACAAGTCAGCATCACAAACACCAATCAGCATGGTATATTTTGAAGGTTTTGGTTATCTGTCTGTTTAGTTTGGGGGGGGGTAGAGGGAGAGTTTTTGAATATTAAATAAAATCTTTTATGGTACATGAAGCATTCAGAAATGCTGAAAATAGCTGAAAAAAGTGTTTTCTCCATTGCCTTTAGTGTATGTGTTTTTTTGAAAAGGGAGTAAATCTTGGGTTTTCATGAGATCTTTCAGTTGGAAGCAACCTATACTACTTTATTCAGGTTCTTACACAGCATGCATCACTGTAGTATCTGATTTAAGTTTCTCACTCCCTTTTTTTCGTTTTGTGTCCGTGTCAAGAGGATTCATGTCTTTTTAGCTGTTATACTTACAGAGCATGAGGTGTACTCAAACTTCCCAATGAAGTTTCCCTCTTCCGTTTCAATATCACATCCTTTCTGGTGTCATACTTATCCCCACTTGTACTCTTTAAAAAAAAAAAAACCCAAAACCCTACAAAATGACTCATAGCTATAGTCTGTGCAAGCTTGAGCCCTACAATAGCAAGGTCTTGCTAGGACAAAAGTGAAGTGTATTAACTGAACTGTGAGGGGAAGTTAACTCATACCTATATGTATCTATATCTGCTTCAAGTCTGCAATAATCCCTCACTTTCAAACCTACTAACTTCACAAACTGCAAAGCAAAGATAAAAAAGGAGAGACACAATGGTATGTTTTCTTTAAAAAGAGAAGTATTAGAGGAGTAATTCACCTGAAAAATGAGCCACGTAGGAAAATTATTTGGCGTATTTATAATACAAGACTTGTGATATGTAAAAGTAAGAGGAGGCAAAAATATTTACAGTTAGGAAACCAACTTGTGGGTGATTTCAGTTTAAGTTCTTTATACGGTTTGTGTTAATCAACTTCCCTTATGATTAAAAAATAAATGTAGACGGCTGTTTCTACTGCACATAAATATGAAAACTGTATAGTATAGAAATACTGAAGAGAATTGAAGTCAGGTGTGTGGTGGGTAAAATATCCATGTACAGTAATTAAAAATTTAGGAAAGACCAATTAAAATGTATTGCTTCTGACAATGTTTTTGAGGAGCTGACTACTAAAAGTGAGATGAATCTTGGCAAATATTTGAAAATATGGCTCCCAGATGTCTATAGAATGTGTCTGATGAACATTCCAAATCATGCAGTATTAAAATGAGAAAATGCATTTAATAAGTAACTCAAGACTAATAATTCACCCTTAACCTGTGCAGATGATGACAGAGTAAACAAACCAGTTTTAGGTTAAGGATGTTATCAGCCTTAACTTAGTGTGTCTTACTATTGTTGGTCTGTATCACAACTTTAATGTTTTTAAAATGTATTTTTGTGTTTACATTTCTTGGTGTTTTTTTGTTTGTTTTTTTTAAACTGTCATGGAAAGTTTTATAAAATGCTAATTATTTACTTGATAGACTGAAGGAGCAGTTAACAATCTATGGATAAATTTATATTTAGTAATGTAGGAAGCTGTCATGTTCTTGCAAGTATGTATTATAGAAAATTACTGCGCATGTGCAGTAGTTAACTTTCAAATATTAGTATATCGGATGTTTACACGCTTTTTAAAAAAAACCTCCTTTATGTATAGTAAGTAATAGCCTGCAAAATTTTGGTTTAAAAAGTTGTCTTTTTTAGTAATAGAAACACAAAGACCTGTTGGAAGCTTGTACATTTTTACTATGTTATGCTTCAGCCCACAACAAATTTCTGCAACTGCTATGAATCCCTGAAAAATTAGATTTCCAGTGGAACTGCTGTCACAGCCTTAACTCGAGTATGAAAATGGTGCTTAAATACATATATATGCATGGATGTGGGTACCTCAAATCTGATGAGTGTTTAAATGAGAACTTCTAAGTTCAGCGTTTGGTGCTGAAAATGCAAACAAACTAATGCTCCTGTTAGATAAGGACAGCCATGTTTTGTGAATTCATCATTAAATATTTTAACTTCCAGACATATTAGAACAATTTCCGAGTCTCTTATAAATAAGAAGATAGTGCATACCTTCCTGGTTTCTGGGTGCATTAAACATTTGTGAAACTAAGGGCAGGGCAAGAGGAGAGCACTTGAAGTGTTAGAGAACGAAAGGGTCTGTTTGAATGCAAGATAAATTGGTGTTTCTGTGCTATTTGGTGTTACCATTCATAGAGGTTTTCTTTTGACGGACAAATACCCCACTTAGTTTTTCAAAATGCTTTCTCAGTAAGTGGCGTTAACCCAACATACTCCTATATCTAAGGCTGTTTTTTTAATTTTCCCTAGGAATATTAATATAGGTTATTCATTCTTTACATAAGAATCATTACAGCAGACTTCATTTAGAAATATCAGTTTTTACAGTTGAGGGGCTTGGAACAATGAAATGGTGCTGTCTAGCCTCGCACATTTCGGTGTTCTTGACAGTTTAAAATACTCCACCAAAAATGCACAAAACTGATTTGAACTGATGTGTCTAGTTTCTGTATTGATTTTTTTCAAGGGGATATTTATGCCCCTATCTTCACATCCGCTATCTCAGGTCCCTTTAAATGAATACTTCAGGGATTTTTAATGCCACTTGATGGCAGACCAAATGTAATATTTATATGCAACGAGCTGTTAGTTTTTGTATTGTAAAAATGTAAATTTGTAAAGATTTTTTTCTAGAGTTTTTTTGAAGTCACTTATGTAATTTAGGATGTTTCATTTTTCCAGCTGTGGGATTGTCTTAATAAAAAAAGTAAATCTTACTTTGATTTTGCATTACTTATTAAACAGTTTAGACATTATAAAGACAAGTGAACTAGTTAGAACTTTAACTAAGCATACCTAAAATTCAACTTTTGATTTAGCTTTGGATAATTCTACATTGAAGTTAGAGAAAATTGTTCTTTTTATACTATAGTAATCATTGGAACATCAATTGGCTGGTTGATGGAAAGCTCCCACATTCCTTATTTAAGGTCTTTGGGCCATACAGGATAAGCCAGGATGGGGGGAAAGGAAATACAATCAGTTCCCACTCATGGAGTGTTCTTTGAATTTTTGTCAGCAGGAGGGGAGCAGATCCTGGCACAGAAAGGGCACAGAATACCATGGACATCCATGCTTCCTAGAGGCATTTTGTGCCCAGGTATTAATGGCAACTGCTTCCTCCAAGTCACTGCTGTGGAAGTTTTCCACTGTGGCAGGTCTCATGGTACTGGACCCCTTCTCCCCCTGCAGCAGCCTACAACCTTAACCAGCATTTCTCCCTCATTTAGGAGTGGAGAGTAATGCTGAACAGCTTGTTCCCTGTGGAGCACTTCGCTAGTGGCATCTGTCAGGTCAGAGAAAGGAAACAATGCTGTGGAGCTGACCCTGCTCAGAAACGTTGGGTCTGGGTCACCTCTGTTTATGGGAATGGAGGGGACAATCTAGCACTTTCTGATACCATTAATTTGAAAATTGCTCATTTAGGATGAAATTTGCATTGTAAAGTTTGAGTTATGTGGCTTCCTGTGGGGAAGCATGAAAGGACTTGGGGAGATTAAATTCATCTTCAACTACAAAGCAGGAAGAGTAGGTCAGGAGGGTGCATTATAGACCACACCCTGGGACAGTTATTTCAATCTCAGAGAGCAGGAAGGCAGGGCTCCCAACTTCCCCTACCCTCTCATGCAGCCACAACATGGTGTTATGTGATGAAGAGAGCATTGTGTTGGCTCCCAGCCCCAGGGTGAATTTCACATTTTAGAGTGATGTTATTTTGAGGAACAAAGTGAGCAGAGCCCTGACAGTGGTTTTAGTTTGCCCGAGTGCTTTTGGAAGAAGATTTTTAGCATTGTACCAGTTACAATTTAAAGCAAAATACTGTGAAATACAGTTACTCTTCACTTAACATTGTAGTTATGTTCCTGAAAAATGCGACTTTAAGCGAAATGATGTTAAGCAAATCCAATTTCCCCATAAAAATTTATGTAAATGTGGGGGGTAAGTTCCAGGGATTTTTTTTACACACCCACACACACACACACACACACA